AGACAAGGTCGGCGAGTGCTCGTGCACGTCCAGCAGGCTGTCCTGGGACCCACACAGCAAGCTGTGGTCTGAAAAGCCCTTGGCAAAAGCTTCGCCACAGGCATGCGTCTTTAGTGAGAGTCTGCGATGGTTCCTGTTGCAGCGCACACCGGGCGGCCTCCCTCCACAGCCTCCTGCCTTATGTGCTTATTTCTTGTTAGAGTGCGACACACCTGCATTTTGAGCCTGACAACTTGTGCAAGGACACTTACCCTGGGCACGTTCTAATTCTGTCTCTATCCACCTCTATATTACATGTAGCAGAGGTTTGGGGACCTGGGTCTGAGTGCAGGTGAGGTGAATGGATGGATTGGAGCCAATGTTGGTCGCCCGCTGAGGGGATGGTTGCTTCAGACCCACTCATCCAGGTGAGGCTCCCCGGATGCTAGCCCGCGTCCAGTGAGACAGGCACCCAGACTCCCAGCTTTGCTGCCACAGGCCACCACGTGGCCAGAGGGGCTCTGCTGCCCTGGTGCCCACACTGCTGAATTGCTCTGTGTAGCATTTGCCAGACAAGGAGCGTCCAGGCTGCACCCTCTGGTCTTGGAAGCCCACACAACCCGGGCCTCCTTCCCTGTGGTCTCTACAAACCAGGCCCAGCCCAACGGAGCTGCACAAAAACCAGGCCAGGCTGTGGCAGGCAAGGTCTACTCTAACTTGGGGGTCATTGCAGGATTAGAGGTCCAGCTTACACCGTCCATGTTTCTAGTTAAATGCGGATGTTTATGTACATATATACATCAACAACTAAATTATTTTAAGTTTGGGGTACTTAGCTTCATGATCCCATTTGATTCGTGATTGGAGTGTGATCATTTGGTAGCTTTCAGCTTTGTGGATCAGTGCCCCAGGGGTGTTTTGGGTGTTTAGTGGTCAGTAAGCAGGCTCACCCTTCCACAGCACCAAAGGCCGTGGAACCCCCGCATCCAGGCCATACGGGTCCTCCCACTTCTCATGGTCTCAGGGTAGGAGACCGTCATCACAAGGAGCTGCACACCTGCTGTGCCCCTCCACAGCCCCCCACCACCACCACTAAGGCCTGGAGCTCGCCCAAGCCAGCCTTTCCTCCTCACAGAGGCTATTCAGGACATCTGCTTCCATCCTTTCTACCAGCATCAGTGCAGGGAACTGAGAAGAACATACGCACTCGTTCCAGATGTGTGTGTTTTAAGGAGGTTTCAAGACCACTGACTCCCCCAGTAGCGTCCTGACCATGCTGACAAGGGAGGTGGGAAGAGGAAATCTCCCATCTGTCCACGTTACGGTTCGGTGAGCCCTGTGGTCACAGCAGACTCTTCAGTGACCACCACTGACCCAGTGGCTATAGTCTCAGACTTCTGCACATGGCAACCCTATCTCCTGCCACTTAACTTCCATTGAAAGTTAGAAAACTGAACTCCAGGAAAGACATCAAAATTTCCAAATTGCGGGGTCAGTGCGTTGTTGTGAAGCTCCTCTCTGTGGTGCAGGCTTCTTTTCTCACGCATTCGTACGTGCACACACAGCCCAGCCTCAAGGGAGCATAGTGCTTTACTCTCACACACACAGTTCCTTTGGAGTGTCTGTAGGCAACATTTTAAGTGCCTTGCACATGGCCACCACAGGCCATAGTGGGGGAGGCTGAGGATGAGACCCCAGGCGCTCACAGTGGTAAACAGAACTCAGCACAGACAGAAGCGGCCATTGCGTGACGGTTGGTCCAGGCAACCCCAGGACGTGGCCTGGGTCCCGTGCCTGGGTTGGTCTCACAGCCCCAGCCTGGCTCTCCATTATTACCAGGACTCTGATCTGATTCCATACGACATCAGTCCTCACTGGAGAAGGTCCGGGGACATCAGATGAAGACTGTGGCTGGCTGTTCCATGTGCTGATGGACATTTGGGGGATGGAAGTGCCACCCATGAGAACCAGGGATGTGGGGTCTGGACATGGTGCCAAAGGAGGCTTTACAAGTGTGGGGCTGGTCCTTCCAGTTACTTCATTGACTTTGTATGTGAGGAACTGTGGCCTGAGTGTCATCACGTCCTGTAGCAGCTGTTTCTCTTAAGGAAGGGAAGCTGCCAGAGGAAGAGGTTTTCCAGGAATTCCCAATGAGGAAATTCAGGGCTGAGGTCACCAAGGAGCAGGAGCTCCCAGCCTGCCTTTTTCTGTTGGCATAGGTGGGAGTGACCCTTGCCAGAGCTTCCCTGTGCTCAGGGACCAGCACCCCTGCCCAGCCTGCACACACACAAGCACACACATATGCATGCTCAGGGTTTCCAGATGAAACCGTGTCCCAAAGCTCTATAGACAGGGGATGAGGCAGCTTATCTCAGGAAGTCTAATGCTGAATAATTAGTCCTCTAGCTGCGCTGCATAGCCCTGCAATTGTCTTTAAAAGGTGTTTGCCATTCACAGGAGGTGACATGGG